TAATGAAGATCTAAAATTGGATTCTAATTATTGTCTTCTCAAAAATAGCAAAGTCAAGACATATAAATAGATTGAAGCAAATAAGAGCCAAAGCACTAGGGGTGCGCACGCACTAGGGCGTGTGCGCGCGCACCACTTTGTATTTGTCCCTCATCATGTATGCACCAATGAACACTCAAGCCACACCATGCTCCCGCATAAGCCGCATCGGTGAGCGCACCAATGAGCACACTAATGAGCGCACCAAGCTTCACCATCATGGAGGAAATGGTGAGCGCGCACCAAATTCTTCATGATAGCCACGAACATGGCAGATACGAAATACCATCTTGGTGGGTTTAACACCATCATTTAAGAGCGCGGCAAGAGAGCCCATGAACTAGGACTTGGAGTTAGCCATTACTTTGCTTCATGAGGTATCCAAAAGCTAGGACCTTGCATCAAAAGCCTATTCCAACTAGGAAAATCATCGTGAACGGGTCCTGAGCTTCGTTTTACACCTACAAACAAAGAGAGAGAAACAAATAAAAGAGAAAATACAAGAATAACTACTAAAAAGAACGAAAACACAAAGTTAACAAGAAAAGGGAAACTAAAGCTCAAAAGGGTAAAACTAAGCCATTATTAAGAAATAAAGTTATGAAAAGAGATGAAAACCAACCTAAGACAATACTCTTTGAGTGCCATAAATGGCACTCATCAAATTCCCCCAAGCTAAACTTTTGCACGTCCCGAGCAAAACAAACTTAAGCAAAGGAAAATGATGACATTATTCAAGCAAAGAAAGATAGAAGAGATGGGAATATACACTAACTCACTTTCGTAGGAATCACGGTCAATTTTAGCAACTAAAGATAAGCCATTTAAACCCCTAGATCGCCCTAGAAGATGATTTTTCTCTTGTAATAGTTTCCTAAGAGATTAACCCATAACTTTTACAACAAAACAAGGCAAAGCATGAAAAGAAAAAGAAAAAGAAAAAAAAACAAATGCACTTGAATGGAATTTTGCAAATGAACAAGCACAAATGGATGCAAATCTTCCTAAATAAGTTGAGGAGTGCACATTTCAAAATATCCAAGGTTAAATGAAATATAATATATGCGAAGCGTACAGATTTAACAACACACGATTCCTCTTTCTTCCCAACCAATCTTATCGTGTTCTCCCAACTAGTTTCAAATTCACCTCAAGTAAGCGTCTCATGATTCCTCGAAGGAACCGAAAAAGAAAGAGAATTCAAGACTAAGCTACCCGATGTCTTGGCTAAGCAAACTCGCTCCATAGGCTTGATTCTTATCTCCCTCCACCTACTACTGACTCAATTGATAGACAAATTCATTCAAACAAAGCTTTGAATCAATGAAATTCAAATGCATTCAACAAAGAAAATTGAATGAAATGAAAGTAAAACACATTCAAACAATGCTTTTTGAATCAAATAAAAGTCAAATGCATTCAACAAAGCTAACTAAATAAATTGAAAGTCAAACACATTCAAATAAAGCTAAACGAATCAAATAAAAGTTTTGCTAAAGAACTCATGTGGACTGTGAATGACTTAAGACTTGATTGATTGACTCGACAAGATTGTACCTAAAATGACCGACTTGAACTGATTTTATCATGATTGTGTGTGTGATGTATTTACATTGTATATGACTCGAGTGATGGAAAGTGTAAGCGCTTACGTGTAAGAATGAATAAAACAACCGAAAATGTAAATTATTTTCGTCATTTTTGTTATAAGTGGAAGGTACCAACTTTTTTTCGAAAAAGAAAGACTTGAAAATGAATGAAGAACAGGAGAAGCTATGAATTTCCTTGAAAGAAAATAAAAAGAAGGAAAGTTTTTGAACTTCCCCAAAACAAAATGAATGAATGAAGAACATGAGAAGCTTTGAATTTCCTTAAAAGAAAATAAAAAGAAGGAAAGTTTTTGAACTTCTCCAAAACAAAAATGACGATTAAAAGGATTCCAAAGGAAAAGAAGATGATAAAAAGATTGGAGAAGTTGTTGAAGTTCCTCAAAAGAAAAAATGATAAAAGAAATGATAGATGAAAGAAATTTAAGTCAAATATGACAAAGCTGAGTGAGGTTAATCGTGTGGACTTGTTCTGCATTATGCAAGGATTGTATCTTACTAATATTTCTTGAATGGAAATGGTGCTTGAATGATGAATGTATTAGTGTTGCTGAAAACAAAAGTTATGTTACTTGATCAAAAGTAACCCTAGTCCACTAACAAGGTAACTAGGGAAGCATAGTCGAATCCACATGGAAATAGTGTTCTTCTATTCCTAACTAGTGAAGAGGTCGGGTGTTGTCCTAGGTTGTTACTTTTGTAATTGTGTAACTGCTAATTTTTTAAAAAGGCATTTAATAGTTTGTATGTGGTTTCAATACTTTTGTAGTACACTATTAATTTATTTAAGTGCAAGATTAGAACATAAGTGATAATTAGCCTACATGGTTAAACAATGATCTTTCTTCTAAAAGGTTGAGTGCTCAAACCTCCTCGCTGTTTTTTTTAAAAAAAATTAGTGGAAACAACATGGAGTATTGTTGGTTGCATGGGTGAGGTGGACATTGAAGAATTCTGTAGATGGCGTAGCGATCGAGGAATTGAATATGTGACGTGGCATAATGAGGGGTATATGCTACTAGAAGCCTATATTGAAATTATTATGTTTAATCTCTATTTTGCCAATTTGCGCTTTTGTTCTCTGCCTGGTATTCTACACATTTTTGTTACATCAGTTTGTCTTATTTTTCCCTTCCTTTAATTTTTCCTTGTTAGGTCTTGACGGTTTTGATTTTTTGTTGTAAGGCCTTTAACCCCTTTTTGTTTATATCATTGTTCTGAGTTGTTCCTCCTATTTTCTGTATTATTCTTCTTGTTTTTTTTCCCTTACTTATATCTCTTTGCTTTTTTCTACAGATATTCCCTGTTTCTAATGGTAATATATTTGCACTTGCTTGATTGGTTTTCCACACTTGGTGATACCCTTATTCAGTTTTATGTTCCTTATGGTACTTATGACATTGGTCTTTCTAAGACTTGGAATGTGGTTGTGTATAAAATCCAACCTTATGATATATATTCTTATCTTTCCTTATTGAGTTGTTTTGTAATTCATCTACATATTTTTAATGAAGATTATTAGTTGGAATGTTGGAGGAGCTAAGCGTTCTCAAGCTATTCGTGAAATAATCTTTCTTCAAAAAAATGTAATCCATTTATTATTATTGCTATTGAAACCATGGTTTCTCCCTCTAATACTCATAGATTTATTAAAACTTTGGGTTATGAATCTTTCCATGTTATAAACCATCAAGGTCATTGTGGTGGAATGTGGATTTGTTGGAATACATCTAATTTAGTTGTCAATGTTATACAATTAAAAAAATTTAGTTGAAACAACATGGAGTATTGTTGGTTGCATGGGTGAGGTGGACATTGAAGAATTGAGTGGATGGCGTAGCGATCGAGGAATTGAATATGTGACGTGGCATAATGAGGGGTATATGCTACTAGAAGCCTATATTGAAATTATTATGTTTAATCTCTATTTTGCCAATTTGCGCTTTTGTTCTCTGCCTGGTATTCTACACATTTTTTGTTACATCAGTTTGTCTTATTTTTCCCTTCCTTTAATTTTTCCTTGTTAGGTCTTGACGGTTTTGATTTTTTGTTGTAAGGCCTTTAACCCCTTTTTGTTTATATCATTGTTCTGAGTTGTTCCTCCTATTTTCTGTATTATTCTTCTTGTTTTTTTCCCTTACTTATATCTCTTTGCTTTTTTCTACAGATATTCCCTGTTTCTAATGGTAATATATTTGCACTTGCTTGATTGGTTTTCCACACTTGGTGATACCCTTATTCAGTTTTATGTTCCTTATGGTACTTATGACATTGGTCTTTCTAAGACTTGGAATGTGGTTATGTATAAAATCCAACCTTATGATATATATTCTTATCTTTCCTTATTGAGTTGTTTTGTAATTCATCTACATATTTTTAATGGAGATTATTAGTTGGAATGTTGGAGGAGCTAAGCGTTCTCAAGCTATTCGTGAGATAATCTTTCTTAAAAAAAAATGTAATCCATTTATTATTATTGCTATTAAAACCATGGTTTCTCCCTCTAATACTCATAGATTTATTAAAACTTTGGGTTATGAATCTTTCCATGTTATAAACCATCAAGGTCATTGTGGTGGAATGTGGATTTGTTGGAATACATCTAAATTAGTTGTCAATGTTATACAATTAAAACATCGTATTGCTGCTTTACTTGTTCATGATAAAGCTCATGATAATGTATTAATGCTTTTTGCTATTTATGCGCCGGCTCAATCTTCTCAAAAGTCAAAAATATTATGTTTTGGTTAGAGATTTTTGGTCTTGTTTCCAATTCACCTCTTCATTGGTGTCTTGTTGGAGTCAAGTGTAAGGCCAATACTTTTTTTTAAGGAAGGATGAGTCTACTTATATTGACTAAATACGCCCAACAACTGATCTGAAAAAGATAAGAAGCATCCCTAAAACTCGGTTATCAACGACCTTCCACCTTTTTAGGAGGAAGTTAGCTCATTTTCGGCTGCGAAAGCAAGAGCAGAATCCACTAGCCTTAGGGTTTAACTAACCTACAAAAAGAGGAGGCAAGACCCCCCCCCCCAAAAAAAAAAAAAAAAAAAAAGTAAAAAAAAAAACTCACTTGAATTATCTCTACTCACTACAGTACGCTCTAATACATTTCGAAGCATACATTTGTACTTATTTTCTCTCAAGTTTACATAGTAAATCGGTAGAATTATTCCCACCCACAGTTTTTCTCATCTCCCTTGGGTTTTTTGCATCATCAAAATATCATTTGTCTCTTATTCATTTAAATTTGAAGCATTCTTATAGTTATTTCCATCTAGCCGTCGACATTTCAATCTTATGTCGCCCTTAGGTGATTTTTGGCATAAACAACAAACAAATAACAACTTATAAAACTAACATTATAATTGCTTCTTTAATGCAACTTTAAATGTTCACGATAATTATACAAGAATAAATAACATACAATAAGCCATTACAAGTAATCTAATTTGATCCTTGCCAATATTGATAGACCACTATCCAATCTATTTACATTACTGCGTTATTAACAGCGTAGGATCATATTCTTGCATATATCTGCAGCAATGTTTCACCACTGGAATACTTGTATAAGTCTAAGTTATGCATCATTTATAAGGTTTAAAGCAACAACTGCTTTATGAATCCGATACCACTATGGGCTTGAAGTGAGCATAGCACATAATGGTTTTCAAAATTCACAGCCTCTGCGCGAAAATATGAAATTAAGAACTGCTCCTCCCTGTGCTACCGAATGCCCAGTGAGGTTTTGCTGGAGTACGCTTCAATGCTGGAATGCCAATGGGGTTGTCCTTGCTCTACAACATCAAAACACACAATAAGCTCACATAGAAACATTACCTAGATCTACATGACTAAACATGTATCAATAGATATTTATTAATAGCTCTACTGTCAAAACACTCAAAACCTGTCGGACAAATCAGTATGAACCGCGAACTGTATTCGTTACTTAACTAAAATTCAATGTTAAAGTGAAACTAAGCAGATAGTGTCACTTTTGTGATATTTTGAATCTAATCTAGATACAACAATGGTTTTTCACAGTTTTAATCTCCACGAGGTTAAAATGATAAGTTATGTAGTAATTTTGAGTGTAGAGATTATATATTGTGAGCACGAATAATCAGAGTAACAGAAAAGCGACTTAAGGAAAGACAATAATAGTTCTCACCATCGAGCAGGTGCCCTGATAGACATTGCAAATGGGGTAATCATGGGGACAGCAACTGTAATGGTCTTCACAGCACGAAGCTGCCTCGAGAGGACAGCAGCCCCATGAGAAGCAGTAATTAGCATATTCGTAAATGCAGCAGCAAGTGTTGCCTTCAGGACAGGAATAATAGCTATCACAAACACTGGGAGGCTTGACTGGCGTTGGCGGGGATGGGCCTGGATTGGGTGGGTTCATGCCTTCCTTGATCGGGTAAGACGGTTCCATTGCAATACCACACAAGCCAGTATATTTCGTGTTGCGCTCCATTCTAATGTACCCTTCCTCTCCCCAGCCAGCACCCCATGAATTTCTTACTATCCAATAATCTAATCCTTTCTCTGTCCCATAACCAACAACTGCAACACCATGGTCCAATGCTGTTCCACACTTGCCATTAAACACACCCTGAAAAAAATTTACACGAACAAACTTGTAAGAATTAATTTTAATACACATTTTTTCTATTTAACTAAGTTGGTTACATATGCATACATTATTGTCATTAGTTAATGAATCTGATGCTGAATTATATTTTATTTTTGTAAATGTAATATTAACAATGAAATCCAGTTGTTGCAAAATTATACTCCATCCATTTTACAATAAATAACACAATTGTCGAATGTGCAACCCTTAAAAGTATTTGTTACAGCTTATCATGTTCTAAAATTATATATGTGACTAGTAATTATTAATGATAAAAGTATGTTAACTATAAATTTAACGTAGTTAACAAAAATGCCACAAAATACTGACCGAGGCATATAATTGGAAGTCTCTACCACCACCTTCAATAGCAACACTTATTGGCTGATTTGCAACAGCCTTTTGCAATGACTTCTCGTCGTTAATAGGAACATCCTCATAGTCATCAATCGTAACAACCTTGGCGTTTTTCTGCACAAAATGTAAGTTACAATCACACTATTAGTGTCTTATGATGTATGTTAGTAAAATGATAACTGGTTACCCTGTAAAATGATAACTGGTTACCCTGTATGTATCACAAGTGCCATCACGGGCCTTGTAAGGGTAGTCATCATCAGTATCAATGCCACCATTTTTAATGATGAACTCGAAAGCATAGTCCATTAGACCACCATTGCATCCCTCATTGTACGAAGTATCACAATCTACCAGCTCCTGCTCGGATAGAGAGATCAAGTCTCCAGTAACTATCTGATTTACACCTTCTACAGCCGCTATGGTTGAAAATGCCCAACAACTCCCTGTTTTATTCAAGTATAGTTAGACAAGAAGTTAGTCATCTACAATACGAAATTGTATCAAGATTACAAGTAGATAATGCTAGTTAGACTTTTATGGCCTCAAGAATTCTCGAATCCAAGTTAAGTATAATTGAAAAATAACATACGACAATATAGGAATGATAAACTTGTTAAAAGCATAGTCAATTATAAATTTTTTGGGTTTAATTAAAGACTGACAAATTAAACTATATGATGTCAAGTTTGCTACTTACAAAGCGTAGTATACAAATACACTTGCTGTATACTTGAATTTCTTTTGTCTAAATATTGCAAAGTTTGCCTTTAAGATGTTTTACATGTACTTCCCTCAATAATTGTTTGATTTGTTTCACAGATATTGCAAGGTTTATGATAAACTTTTTTAAAATTAAATGATTTTTTTGTTTAGATTAAGAATTAGATTGACAATTTAAAATATACATCATATGAGTTTTTTTTTTTATATATTGATAAAAAAGTATCATATTTAATTTTGCAGTATAACCTATAAAACTTCTGAAATGGAAACAAGATGAGGTAGTATATCAAAGTTTAACTTCAAAAACAAGTGAAAAATAAGCCTAGATCAATTTTTAATCAATTTAATAGAGCACAAAATTTGTTATTGGACTAAAAACGAAACATTTTCAATTAATATTCTAGGCAAAATATATACTCCGTCCGTCCCATAATATTTGGGACATTGGGGTGGACACGTAGTTTAAGAAAACTACAAGTAGGTCCATTCCTAACATTTGTTTATTATATAAAACATTCTCATTTGAATTTTTATATTATAAAAAAACAAAAAGTGGGCCAGGTGAGAGTAGTGAGAAAACAGAAAATGTAGGATTTAATTGGGTTTTGGGGTTTCTGGTCCCAAAGAGAGTGTAGGAAATTTTTTTATTAGTGGTCTCATTCCATATTTAGTAACGTGTCAAATATTTTGAGACGGACGAAAATGATAACTGTGTCAAGTATTATGAGATGGAGGGAGTACTTCTATATGTGGATCATCTATGAGTAAAATTAGGTCGATTTTGAATGTGAGTCTAAAAAAGTTGGATCTGAATCCAGTTTTGGCCCGTTGGCATATAAATTCTTACAAAGTATTTCTTATTTGTCTCGAACTTGTTAAGTTAATTATCTAAACCTTATTATATTGATTGGGTTAAGAACGAGTCCAGGAACTAATTAAAAATGGATGGAGAATAAACAATTGACTTGGCAATCCAATTATCAGATAATCTCGGTTGTTTGGTTTGAGTCACTTTGACAAGTCCATTTGATATTGTTTATTGCACGTCAACAATTATTCTATCAAAAATATCTGTTACGGTCTTACGGAATTAAATATACTAATTGGTAAAGCCTAATGAGACACCTAAGTTGGACTAATCTACCAGAGTGGAGCTAAATGAATCTTACCCAGATTATGGGCCACATCAGTCATAAATATTTTATAGATTCTTTCCATTTAAGAGGCCAAGATTCCAACAACAAGGAGGAGTTACGTATACTCTAATAATTCTAATTTATGATTTTATGTAGTCGTTTTCAAGAGTTGTACTGGTATTTTTTTTGGCATTATATCCCAATAATAAATCTCTTTCATTTACTTATTATTTCCTATGTCAATTTTTTTAAGTATTATAAATTTTTTTTTAAACCATAAATTTTTATTTTTTCGTTGAGAGTAAAGATGATAGTATACAAATTAGAGTGACGGAAGGAGCTTATGACCGGTACTCTATAAGATCCTATTTATGACCGGTACTCTCAAAGATCCTATTCACATCAACATATAACGCTTTATTTTTTAAAAAAAAACAATACAATGAATTATTTATATAATAATTTGTATATAATATGCACTACTCTATATTTGTCTATTATTAATAAGTGTTCATGGTTTATATCTAGGTATATTTCATCGTCATTATGCATTTTGTAAAACATAATACATATAAACTACGAAAATTTTTTGTTTCTTCTCTTACTTCACTGTGGAACTACATTACTCCTCTCGTGAGGAGGGCATTTTCATGATTAATATCTTTAAAAATATATAAAAATAAACTTAGTAACTTATACCAAATATACTAAGGAAACACATATATACATACTTCTTCCTTTCTTTTAATATTGCATTATAACAGTTTAGCACAAATTTTTTGGTAGTGGAAAAAAGGAGGGAGAAGGGTAAAAGTACAAATTTGTCCATGTGATTATAAACAACTAGAATCAAGTGTTAAAAAGTAAGGTTATGTAAGGTATTTGTAGTGTGAATACAAATATTTGTTTTCTTAAAATAGATATGGTGTAATATTTGTAAAATTTCTTTAAAAGGCAAGTGGTGCAATATTTAAAAAACGGAGGAAGTATCTTTAATTGCACACAACTTATAAAAGAGATGAATATGTTATGTTTTACAAATAACTAGGTTAAGTCCCGTGCTATGCACAGACGTAATTACAGTTTACAACAAATAAATTATAAATAATGGTGTTAATTCAACAATAATTTATCCAAAAATAATATTTGTAATAAAATAACTTGAATTTTAATTTATACTAATACCAAATACGTAAAGGTTATTTAATTGGATTGTATAAAATAGTAATAGAAATTAGAAGCTATAAGATTTTATATAAATGAATGAAAATATTAGCTTAGGTTAGTACCCATATACAAACTCTTATACATTTGCCCTTATATTTTTTTGACACACCTTTGACCGGCATTATATGAAAATTTGTTGAATTTATTTTACCTTAGGATAATTAGTATTCCGTAATCAACTTTTTTAAATATATTTTTAATGAGTAGTAGGGGTTTTTAATTTATTTTTTTTTTAAATAATCACATAAATGTTTATAGTAATTAGATTGAATTTTCCAATATATATGATTTTGTTCGGTTGTTCTTGTAAAAGCTAAGTTATATATAATTTTAAGATTTACACAAAGTATGGTACCAAAATGATTTTTCTTTTTTAATTAAAATAAATTTTATTGTCAAATGATAAAAGTTGGAGAATAAATTTGATAATATTATAATAATCTTGGATAATAATACATTACAATACCTTATTTTTAATCTATGTTAGTATTTTTGTAACTAAAAGTTTCCATGTATATACAGTAGAATATATGTAAGAAAATTTAATTGAGTATAATTGGATTAAATACGTTGTCCAAATAGAAATAAGTATTATTGTAGGTTATAAAATGGATGTCATTAAAATTTGGCAAAAAAAAAAAATAAAAAATAAAAAAGAAGAAAAGAAAACAAAGGCGGGAAAATTTTAAACCAGAAAATAACAAGTGTCATTTCTAGTTTCGCCTTAATATAAAGTTATTATTGATACGTAGTACATATTAGGAGTAATTGAAATGAGAGAACAAAAAAGAAACGAAAGAAATGATAAATAAGCATACAATAATAACAATAAAAATTTATAGCCAAATACTGCATTTAAAAATAATAATAAACTCCCTCCAATTTTTTTTTATGTTTTGTTTGAAATCTATTAATTATTACTAAAACAAAAAATTGTTGACATCATCCTCTTCTCAAACAGTATTTGTGTCGCTCTATTATAAAAAAAATTCCCGCCTAATGCACTTATGATGTCATATATATTTTTGGTTTTTTTTAGAAATTGGTTATTTTTAATTATTTTTATTTCAATTTTTTTTAAGGTTTTACTGTTATTTGTGCGTGTTAATTAAAGATTGTGCAAGCAACCTAGCTGTGAAGTCATGTAATAATAATATGGATGTTTGTTATACAAAAATGAACTAATGTTGTCGTTAAATGTTACCATTGTTTCGCAGTTCTTCCAAGATGCTTCAATTTATTATTATTTTTTTTTATTACATCGCTTCAATTTATTTAAGTTACATGTATTTTAATTTGTATTTCAAACTCTTAGATTTATAAATACGTATGCATATGGTTTGATTAGATCAGATTTGCTTTCATTTTTATATTTTGTTACTTAGTAATTTATGATGAAAGTTATGTTTTTATGATCTAATTTATAAGTACGTACAGGAAAAGAATAATAGAAACAATTTGTTTCATGCTAATAATATTTTCAATCCGTGCATCATACGGGTCTAATCTAGTTTATTTTAATAAAATAAAACAAAAACAAAAATAAAAATAACAAATTGTGAAGAATAAAAAAATATTTGATATTTGGTTTACAAAAAAAATTTGACGGCTGAACATGAAACATCACTGGATCTATTGTCTATATCCGGAGTATAACGAAATAAAACTAGAATAATGGTAAAATTATCCGTATGGAATGCGGATAAAAGTCAACGTCCTTACTTCAATGGTCATTCGTCATTGCCTCATTGGCTAATTGCTCAATTTTATGGGGGCTGGCCAATCACAGCCTACATAATTCTACTTTATTTATCAAAAAATATTTCTTTTAATTTTTCAATATAAAATATTATACTTAAGTTTTGACCGTTTTTCTACACTTAACATACCATAAGAATGGAGGGAGATTATTATGTATAACTAATACTAAAGTAATTACCGCTCACATCATAACTATCCAGGCAGGTTCTTATAAAAAATTTCCCTCCAAAACTGTTGTCGACATCATTTTTTTTTTTCTTATCACTTTTTCAAGGTAAAGCTAACATTTTTAAAATTTTATTATAGCTATGAAGTTAATAATAATATTTATTTTCTCAATATTTATGCTATGCACTTACAAGCGAATTTTTTATTATTAAAACCATGTATCACATACAAGACTAACCTAGTAATATTAATATGATGTAAGGTCTTAGTGATTAATAATTTTCTATACAAGCATAATTCTAATATTTCTAGTGTCACTAAATTAAATAAACAATTTTATTATATCAATAAAATTATGCTTATGTAATTTTAAATAAATTTAATCAAATCTCAATAATTGTGAGACATAATTGCAAATTGAAATCATTGAATACTAAGATAAAAGCTTACCACAGCTTCCTTGATCTTTAACAGCAACTACGGCCCCTTTCTCCCGCCAATCAACACTCTCCGGGAGGCTATCGCCTTCCTTGTAAGCATACCTATTGCTCTTGGATCCTACCGATACAGAATTGGATTTCCTCCGAGTACCCAAGTACCTAGATCGGTACTCCTCATTGGTCAAGTCAGCAAACTTGGTCAACCCAAGCTTAAAACTCAGGTTTTGAGAATTATGATCATCTATGTAGCGAAGATTATCTTTAAATATACCAAAACGATCCTCTTTTTCGCCAAGATCGTTGTAATTCTTACCATGTTTAACCAGCCATGACTCGTAAAGAGCCATGACCTCCTCCTCAGTCCGAGCAGCCTGCTCTAGCAGCGCCTTATTTTTGTTGTGTGAAACTATGGACATATCTATAGCTGAAGAGATTACGAAAAGGGTGGCTAATAAGTAGAAGATTGTTATGGATGAGGGAGCCATTTTTGAAAGAAACGAGATTCTTTCCTAGAGAATACAGAGATTGTGAGGGGAAATGGGCGGTGATTTTTTTTTGGTAGCAAGGAAGAAAAGTGCGGTGAATTTATAGAAGCGTAGGGCCGAAGACAAAATATTATTGAGGGAGCCTTAGTAAACAAAATTTATTTCTCACATGACATTTTTGTAAATAAGCTAATAAATTTATTCAATTATGGATCCCACAATAATGAAAAAGTTGTTGATGTATTCACGAAAATGCCCCCAGGAGAAACAAATTTCGTTTCTCACTATGAGAAACAGGGAATTTCCCAAATTATTCGTTGCAATATGTATGTTTATATTATTTGATACTAACACGAAATACTTTTTTATTTGAGAAATTTTGAGTATATAATATTGACTTTTACGCATATTAATGTATACTCCCTTTGTGTCACTAGTAGAAAAAATGAAATAGGCAACCCCCCTATGGCAACGGTTCATAAAAACCGTTGCCAACTTAAGTGAGCGCCATTTTAAATATCAGAGTTGGCAACGGTTAACCGTTGCCAATTTTTTTAAAAAAAAAAAAAAAGAAAATTGATTAACATTGGCAACGGTTAACCACCGTTGCCAATTGCGTTTTTTTTTAAAAAAAATAAAAAATAAAAGGTAAAGGTTCATAAAAACCGTGGCCAAGTAAAAAAAAAAAAATTCCGGTTTACAACGTTCATCTTCAACTTTCATTCATTCAATTCAATTCGATTTTCGTTCTGCTTTCCCTCCCACGACGCCTCTGCTTTCATTCAATTCCCAAACACTTAGCTTCCTCCATTTTCCATTGAATCTTCCATTGTTATCAACGTACATTGCAAGCAGCAGCTCCTATTTGGGCTTCAATTCGTTCTTCTCCTCACGCACTGCACTCCTGTCTGGGCTTCGTTCTTCTCCATTTTCCATTGAAGCTTCCATTGAAGGTTCTGCCTCCTCACGCACGCAGCCTCCTGTCTTGGCTTCTTTCTTCTCCTCACGCACGCACTCAGTTCTTCTCTTCTGCCTCCCTCCATGCGTTATTGAAGCAACTTTGACCTAGGTAAGTAATAACGCTCCTCCATTCACTTAGCTTCTCCATGTATTGCATTAAAACCATTGTTGGGTTTTTTGAGGAATTTGTCTTTAGTTTAATATTTGAAAGTTTCTTGTAATTGCTAGGGCTTGTCCGTTAAACGCGCAAGGCTCCCCCTCCATTAAACGCACAAGGCTGCCCTCCACAATGTAAGTCCTTTGTAGTTGTTATTGTTGTTGTTTAGTTAATTAATTAAACTTTGTTGCTGTTTACCCCAAACCTCCAAAGTAGCACCCTCAAATTCACCTATCCACCATACATAAAAACTACATACAATATGTTAACAAAAAAGTAATAAGTCATGTAGCATTATAATTGCAGCAATAAGAGGTATTGCACAGTAGTTCACACACTATTATATGTTCATATATACTTTAGCTTAATATAAAACCATGCATGTTTTGTATATGAACTTATCGCAAAAGAGCTTATAATCAAGATTCAAAAAGCCCTTCACCAAAATACCTTAGCTTTATAAATAAATAAAGCTTTAGGGTTTAGAGTTTAGGGTTTAGGGTTTAGGGTTTAGAGTTTAGGGTTTAGGGTTTAGGGTTAAGGGTTAAGGGTTTAGAGTTTAGGGTTTAAGGTGAAGGGTTTAGGGTTTAGGGTTTGAATATACTTTTCTTTATGAGTTGCTTCTCACTATATATGCGTGTTTCAGGCTAAGAAATGGGTGTCAAGGGCTTCTAGGGTAAGATCATCAGTTTAGAGAGTGGGCGGAAAACGTCCTGGTATGGTATCTTACTCTGACTGTCCTTGTTCTTGCATTGCTCACTAATATCATTCTTATCTTTTCCCTTAATCTGGTTTTCTATTTGTGTTCTATATAGGTTACACTGAAAAAGATTATCAGGAATTTTTGGGCGAAGCATAGACCTTGGCATTGACCTTCTATTTGAGAGTGTTGAGCCTTTATAGGTACTCAGGTATATATATATATATATATATATATATATATATATATATATATATATATATATATATATATATATATATATATAATATATATATATATATATATATATATATATATTATATATATATATATAATATATATATATATATATATAACTTTATGTGCTTTAAATAAGTTCTTGGTTGCACAATTTTGTGGAGATGGTGTGTGATATAACTTTGGTGCATCTTCTATCATGATGTGTGATTAAACCATTGGTTTTTAATTGATTGTATGTATCATCATATGCCTAGATACCCGTTCAAGGCTTTCTCATTAGGAGAAAGTCTTGAATAGTCCCCGGTTGGGACTGTTTTTGAACGTTTACTCTCACTTAGGTGGTGAATGTATGTCAGTTTTTTCAATTTTAAGGAATATCTTGGCTTAGCATTTCCTGGATCACCATGTTCTCTGGGTACATATGTGGGTAAGTAATTACCTACGTCGTGTACTTGGAGAACTGGGGGGAAATGCTGCCGGATTTTCCTTAAAATTGGAAATCTGATATACATTCACTAGTGAGAGTAAACATTCAAGGATGGGTTAGGTTGGAGTGATAAGGACCCTTTGGAAGCATATATGCATTTTTGTATCTATATGAATGTTATATGCATGTTGTGTGTTTGAATTTGATTTGTATATATAATAGATGTAGCAATTATACATTATTCGTAATATGTTGCCATGTTTAGAGACAATTTACTTAATGGAGAGGGATCGTGGATGGATGTATCGTAGACGTGATACATTAAAATACTTTAATGGGGTTCAAGATTTCTGCGAGACGGCTTCATCTTATCAGCGCAGAATGGGTTTCGAGTGCCTCTATTGTCCTTGTGTTGATTGTAATAATGTGAAGGTGGTCAATAGTGTTGATATCATTAGAGATCATGTAGTTTGTCATGGGTTTAGGGTTAAATATCATGTGTGGATTTGGCATGGTGAAGAAGGAGAGTATAGTGGGGATGTTATTGGGTATGATGTGCATGATGATAGAAGTAATGATATCCGTGTGGACGAGGAATACAAGAATGATGAACATATTGATGATGATGGTGTTGAGGAGGGATTTGAGGATGATCATGTGGATGAGGTTGAGGATGAAGGTGTGGATGTGATGATGCGTGGTTTTGAAGGTGACGTGTTTGAGTCATTATCGGAGGCTTCTAAAAAGCCTTTGTATCCTGGGTGCAAAAAATACTCCAAACTATCAGCCGTGCTAACTCTTTTTAACATTAAGTCGAAGCATGGGTGGACGGACAGTAGTTTTACTTCCTTGTTGAGCGTGTTAAGTGAGATGTTTCCAGATGGGAATGAAATTCCTAAGTCTTACTATTACGCTAAGACGCTCATGTGTCCATTTGGTTTGGAGTATAAGAAGATACATGCATGTCCTAATGATTGTATTCTTTACCGAAATGAATATGAAAAATTGGAGGAGTGTCCAAGATACAAGAAGTCGCGCTACAAGCGCAAGAGTTGCAATGCTGGTACGAAGGGACCTCCTGCTAAGGTGTTGTGGTATCTTCCCATAATTCCTAGGTTTAAGCGTTTGTTCTCTTTACCAAAAGACGCTAAAAACTTGAGGTGGCATGCAGAGGGAAGAAAGAAAAACAGAATGCTGAAGCACCCAGCCGACTCCCCGCAATGGAAGAACCTTGATATGAAGTTTGGGGAATTTGGTGATGAAGTCAGAAATTTAAGGCTTGGTTTGTGCACGGACGGGATGAATCCATTTGGCACTCTTAGTACCCAGCACAGCACATGGCCGGTACTTTTAGTGATCTACAATTTGCCTCCTTGGTTGTTGATAACTTGCTATTTTATGCGGTTTTAGGGCGTATTTGAACCTAGTTTACCTGAACAAATTTGTGTTTTGGTTCACTTTTACCCTATTATTATGCAATTTTTGTGTATCCTATGCTTCACGGGTTGTTAGTGTTTTTGTTGAGATTTTAGGTCCAAAGACGACCAAATGAAGCCCATGGTTACCAAACCGAGGTTAGAAGCAAGGAAATGATGGAAAGAATCCAAGTACAAGAGCATCGTAGAAGAAAACACGAAGAAAAGGGCCCAGAAGACCCTGCACGGCCGTGCAAGATGTTGCACGTCCGTGCAGGAGTGCAGACTTGAAGCCATCTTTCTGCCAAGGCCTGCACGGACGTGCCAAATATTGCACGTCCGTGCAGATGATGCAGCACGGCCGTGCTTCCGTGATTATGAGGCAGCACGGCCGTGCAAGATGTTGCACGTCCGTACAGGAGTGCAGACCTGAAGCCATCTTTCTGCCAAAGCCTGCACGGACGTGCCAAATATTGCACGTCCGTGCAGATGATGCAGCACGGACGTGCCAAAGGTGCACGCCCGTGCTGCAGCAGGTCGTCTTAAACTGAGTTTCTGCCTTGGTCTGCACGGACGTGCCAACTTCAGCACGTCCGTGCAGACCTACAGTTTACCCGTTTCTTGTTTTCACCGTCCTCTTATTTTAGGGGGTAATATAAATAGCCCCTTTGGACCATTTTAGTGGGGGTTCCCAATTTTTCCAGATTTTCATACTCCTCTTAGTTTGAAACACAAAAATCCTCAAATTAGCATAGATTTTAGTTCTTGTTTTGAAGGTTTTTCAATCCAATCATTGTAGAAGACAAGTTCCACCATTGTTAGTCAATTATTGAAGCTTCTAGTAATTTTTTCTTACTCTTTCTTTCTCTCTTCTATCTTTAATTCTTGCTTTTTATTAATTGTTTAATTGTTCTTTGCATGTTTAATTGTTAGATTCTACTTAATTCTTAGTTTTAATTTGTTCATGAATTCCTTGAAATCTTTAATTGCTTTAACCTCCATGGATTGTGAGTAGTCTAATTTCTAGGGTTTGGGTGAACCCTCAATGTAATCACCAACACTTGTCGCATGAACTAATTTGTTAATTGTGGGGTGTTAATTAGTTGAGTTTAAGAGGTTTCATTGTTAATTCTTGTAATTGGCCATTGCTTGAATTATTTATCTAGCTTCCTCAACGAAGGATCGAGAGATGAAC